ATTAAGCCTTTTAGCTTTTAAATTTAAGGTAAAATCAACTAAAAACTTAATAATTAAGCCTTTTACAAGTATTTACGCGGTTTTTATTAGCTTAATATATTATAAATAAAAGATTATAAATAATATAAGTTTTATTTATAGCTTTATACATAAATCCCTTATTAAAATAAGTAAGCGCTATAATTATACGTGTTATATAGTGTTTTTAGCCAGCTAACGATTAGCCGCGGTTTATAGAATCAGGGCCTAAATTGGTTAATAATCCCAAGAGGCGAATACCGAGTTGGTACTCCAGTTCCAGGGAAACAAGCGCAAGGAGCGTCAAGTGATATGCGCCTACGTAGTACCTACTACTACTAGTAGTATTAATGTTTACTGGTCTAGTGTAACCGGACAGCTTTTGAAGGGAACTTCCCATCGCAGGTTGAGTCTCCTACGGTTCGCTGCATTTATCCCTAAAGTATGAACCTGTTGGATGGCTATCAGGTACCTAGTACCTTGTAGGTATCTAAGTCGAAAGACTCCAGCTTCGTACTGCGCGCAGCAATCATTATTACAGGTAGGTACCTAGTAGGTAGGCGTAGGTGAATTGACTTCGATGCTTCGATGCCAATGCCTGTTCTGGTGAAGATTTTAAGAAGAATGTTGGCTACAGCCAGCCTGATGACTCCACCAGTGCACATGTGTCTTAAAAACAAGTGCGTTGGAGTGTTGCTTATGTGCTTGCGGCGCTGCATACACTATCGTACGAAGGGCTGACAGGGACACTAATCGCCTCCAACCAAATAGCTGCATATTGCAAATAAGGACCTAGAAAATCCTGTAATCTTGCAGTCGATATCATGTCGATACTTGGGGACAGGCTTGTACTCCAACTTTGAAGACTATACAGCAGACATGCTTGTCTTTCAAATCGAGGAACTGAATCTGTCAACATTTTGGTGCGTGTGCTATACTCTAAAGCTGCTTCGCCGCCATCGGTAATAACCGAGTGTCGGAAAGCGATCGTAGATCCAGAATGCTTTGGGGTCTTTTGTGATAGCCTTGAATGATACTAATGCGGGACAAAATGAAGCAAGATTGGATATTTGAAAGATAATACATTCACGACCATGGCTGAAGGGCAAGGCCAGTTAATCATATAACTGACATGTAATTTATAGCGCTCCATGAGTTTTGCGACTTTGGAGAATTCTTTGGCGTTGGGAGTGATTGCTTCGTAGTATACTGAATCGAGCCCGATTACCCGAGGTCGGTGTTGCTCCGCGCCAAAGTTCCCAATTGTGCACCCAAGTGCCAACTGCGCCGATACCATCGCCATAAGCCGTTTCAATATGACCTGGGTCGATTTATAGAACTACCTAATAGCTGTTAGATTAGCCCTCGGACCACCTAAGCTCTTCTCGCCGCGCAATAATATTTCTCTCTTCCATGGAGAAACACCCTGTCTTATCTCCTTCATATATTAATTCGGTCTTATATAGGCTTGATTTTGAAATGGAGTGCTATTAGACTGAATACAAGTGCTTTAAGATCTTGAACCAGAAAATAGAAAACTCGTAAGCCTTCGGGATCGGCGGACTCGGTTACGTCGACTAACGATCCTATCTTGGCGGTCTGGTCACATGGATCAGTATGGAAAAGCATAAGATGGTAAGGGCCGTGTTGTACTAACCTCGAAGGAAATATGGTCGTTCCCAAGTCTGATTTCCAATTCCTGGCGGCCATCTTTGTTCTTCTGTGGCCACTTGGAATCATCCTCTCTGAGAGATTGTCAGCATGGATACATGTAACTGTCTCCTTGGTCGCAGCCTCACTTGATTATTTCGCTCGTTTTGATAATGCGTTTTATCTCCTCCACAATAGATGAGCTCACACACACTGGCAGCATAGTTAAAAACTGAATTATCTCTAGGAAATGATAAAGGTACGGGGTACGGCTTATTAACGAGCCTGGAAACATACTTTCTTTGCGAATGAGACTATCGTTCCTGTAGTTGGAGTTGTTCGCGTATCTCGCAACTGCACTTCTTCCATCTCCCACAACTCTGAAATCAAACTCTGCTCATGGATTAATATCCCGAAACAGATAAAAGACTTGAGGGATATGCGCTGTAGACTTACCAAGGAATTCGTGCCCGAACCTACCCATATGCCCAGAGCTATTTTGAATATTAGCGAGTCAACCCTTCACACGGTTATGGCAAAATGCCTTGACTGACTAGTATCGGAGATAGAAAGGTTCGCTCGTCGCAGACATGTTGTCGATTGCTATGTGAAGCTTGCGCTATAGAGCATCAATGTAGGGTCCTTGAGAGAAGATTATCAAGGCTTCGAATTGATGATTTGTTTATGCCCACGTCAAATGTTAGCTAAGCAACTTAGCACACATCAAGTTCGACCTAACGTGGGGCAAGATCCAGAAAAGCCCCCTCCTTAGCACGTGATATGGACCCCAGACTCGTAACTGCCACCTGTTTCCCAGGGTGAGTTGGTCTGGGCCAAGTATTATCTCTGGTGGCCTAAGGAGAGCTGCTTCGACAAATCTCAGCGACCCTGGCGACTTCAGCCTTGGAACTGGCAAACACACACGCACACGCACACACACAGCCTTTTGTCCCTTGTTTTGAAGAAAATCCTCTAGCATATGGAATTGCTCAGTTACCTTGATTCTCACTTTTCCTGAAGCTGCCCACCAGAGAACGGACGTTTCTGAAGCCAACCCCCTTTATCTGTATCTATCCAGGCGTCCACGATTACAGAGCATTGCATCGGTATTAGTCGCGGCATCACCTTTGCTTATGTCCATCTGGGATTTCGACTTTTGTTGTGCATCTCAGTATGTCTGGGTTTCTCGAAAATGCCTACAGCCTGGTTCATCAGGACAATGCGGCCGACGTGCCAACGGTATCAGATTTGCGTATGCAGCTGGAGAAAGGCACCGATGAGACAAAGGTCGAGACCATGAAGCGAATTCTCACAGTCATGTTGAATGGAGACCCAATGCCGTCGTTGCTTATGCATATCATTCGATTTGTCATGCCTTCAAAGCACAAACCTCTCAAGAAGCTCCTATACTTCTATTATGAGATCTGCCCGAAACTCGATTCCAGCGGCAAATTGAAGCAGGAAATGATTTTGGTTTGGTATTGCTCTCTCCCGTGAACTTGAATCATCTATTGGGGAATTTTTTAGCTGATCCCCTTTTGCTTGTGCAGCAACGGCATTCGTAACGACCTTCAGCACCCGAACGAGTATATCCGAGGAAACACGCTGCGTTTTCTCTGCAAATTGCGCGAGCCGGAGCTTATTGAACCTCTGCTCTCGTCAGCGCGATCCTGTCTGGAGCATCGGCATGCATATGTCCGCAAGAACGCTGTCTTTGCTGTGTCCTCGATATTTGCACATTCCCCATCGTTAATTCCAGACGCATCTGAGCTCCTTTCCACCTTCATCGAAGGCGAGACCGATGCGACATGTAAGAGAAATGCATTCGCGGCTCTTGCAAACATAAATCATGATGCAGCCCTCCTGTATCTAAGTTCTGTTTTTGATGGCATACCAAACGCCGAGGAGCTGCTACAGTTAGTGGAACTTGAGTTTATTCGGAAGGATGCTTTCCAGAATTCCCAGAACAAGGTATGCGGTTGGCTATTGTCATATCATGTGTCTGCGTATCTGACAATCACAGGCTCGATATCTTCGACTCATTTTCGACTTGCTGGAAGCCGGTGCCTCAACTGTGGTATATGAAGCAGCGTCCTCCTTAACAGCGTTGACGAATAACCCAGTGGCTGTTAAAGCTGCGGCGACCAAGTTCATTGAACTCAGCATAAAAGAAGCCGACAACAACGTTAAGCTTATCGTCTTGGATCGCGTGGATCAGCTGCGCAAAAATAATGAAGGCATTCTCGATGACTTAGTCATGGAGGTATTGAGAGTGCTTTCCAGCACAGATATTGATGTGCGCAGGAAGGCCCTCGGCATCGCCTTAGACATGATATCAAGCAAGAACGTCGAGGAAGTTGTTCTTTTGCTAAAGAAGGAATTATCCAAAACCGTGGACCAGGAGTATGAGAAAAATACGGAGTATCGATCTCTTCTCATTCACTCGATTCATCAATGCGCGATCAAGTTTTCGGAAGTCGCTGCCAGTGTGGTAGATTTGCTGATGGATTTCATAGCGGACTTCAATAATGCCTCAGCAGTAGACGTCATAAACTTTGTGAAGGAGGTTGTGGAAAAGTTTCCAGCTCTTCGGAAGACAATCGTTGAACGGCTCGTTTCTACCCTGAGTGAGGTCCGTGCTGGCAAAATTTACAGAGGTATTATGTGGATCATTGGTGAATACTCGTTGGAGGAGAAAGATATTCGAGATGCGTGGAAGCGGATACGGGCTAGCTTGGGCGAGATTCCTATACTCGCCTCAGAACAGCGGCTTTTGGAAGATCAAGATGGCGAGCCGATCCAAGATCAAGTCAACGGCAATTCAAAGCCGGCACCGCCAAGCGGCTCACGTAAAGTCTTGGCCGACGGGACTTATGCCACAGAAACAGCTCTGACTAGCCAATCCTCGGCAGCCGCTAAGCTCGAGGCTGTTAAGGCAGCGCAGAAGCCTCCCCTACGTCAACTCATCCTAGATGGAGACTACTACCTCGCCACAGTTCTTTCTTCCACGCTTGTGAAGCTGGTCATGCGTCACTCCGAAATTTCGGCTGACGTTGCTCGAACGAATGCCCTTAGAGCTGAAGCAATGCTCATCATGATCTCTATTCTCCGCGCCGGACAATCGCAGTTTGTCAAGGCTCCCATTGATGAAGATTCCGTCGACCGCATCATGTCCTGTGTGCGGTCTCTCGCCGATTTCAGTACCAAGAAAGAACTAGAGAACGCCTGGCTCAACGATACCAGAAAGGCATTTCGCGCAATGGTACAGGTGGAAGAGAAGAAGCGGGAAGCCAAAGAAGCATATGAGCGAGCAAAATCGGCTGTACAGGTTGACGATGTCGTCCAGATCCGCCAACTTTCCAAGCGAAACGCTACAGACGGAATAGATGGCATTGAATTAGATCTGGAGAGGGCAACAGGTGGCGAAGCAACTGCAGAAGATCTGTCTTCTAAACTTAGTCGTGTTGTGCAGCTGACCGGTTTCTCGGATCCTGTCTATGCGGAGGCCTACGTGAAAGTGCATCAGTTTGATATCGTCCTCGACGTGCTCCTTGTCAACCAAACAACAGAAACGCTTCAAAACTTGTCCGTGGAATTCGCTACCCTCGGTGACTTGAAGGTCGTGGAGAGACCTACCACTCAGAATCTCGGCCCTCATGACTTCCACAATGTTCAGTGCACCATTAAGGTCTCATCTACGGACACAGGCGTCATATTTGGCAATGTCGTATACGATGGAGCCCATTCTACTGACACCAACGTGGTTATTCTGAACGATTTACACGTAGATATTATGGACTACATTCAGCCGGCTACATGCACTGAGACCCAGTTTCGGACAATGTGGACTGAATTTGAATGGGAGAACAAAGTCAATATTAACTCAAAAGCGAAGTCGTTACGAGACTTCCTGGATCAGCTGACGGCATGTACCAACATGAACTGCTTGACACCTGAGGCAAGCCTCAAAGGGGATTGCCAGTTTTTGAGCGCTAACCTCTATGCTCGGTCCGTATTCGGTAAGTTGTGCAAACATTCAGAAAATTTGCTGTACAATGGGCAATATCTCAAAGAACTTGAGTACTAACGAATCTAGGTGAGGATGCCTTGGCCAATCTTAGCATCGAAAAGGAGGGAGAAGACGGTCCTATTACTGGGTTTGTTCGCATAAGAAGCAGATCTCAAGGCCTTGCTTTAAGTTTAGGATCCTTGAAAGGATTAAACAAGATCGGATCATCAGCATAAATTCTCTGGAGTAAGTTGAATGCGGATTCGCATGACGCGTGAGTAGTAGGAGGAAAATCACCTCCTCTAAACGGGAACAAGAAGTGAGTTAAGGGATGATAGCGGAGTCAGGGAGGGTGGTTTTGATAATGGAAACGTGGGAGGCTGATATTAGCCACGTAAAACTATCCATAGGTTTGGGTGCAGACATTGTGTACATCTTGCCAAGGACGCTCAGAATTAACAGTGGCCCGGGAGAGTCGCGTGGATGCAATAGTAACTACTGAATTTTAACTTTTCATAGAGCTTCTCTTCGGTGGTCAATGACGCCGATGCCAGTGCCGACACAAGTTTTATCCCAAACTTTCCAAGCAGTTGCGTACAATTGTCAGGGGTATATGGATGAAGTCAGTCGCACTCGCTAGTACAAAGCCCGCTTGTCAACTGAAAGAATTGAAAAAAAGAAAAGAAAGGAAAGGAAAGAAAAGAGCTCATATTTAGGAATTAGCGTCATTACAAGTATAATGGGTAGTTGATGTGAATGAATCAAGTTTGATCGCTGTATCGTAGCCACTTAATGAAGAAAGAGGTTGCTGACAAGCTTGCGTAGCGCGCATATTAATCTCTGTTGAAGACGAGTGCATTAACCACATGGCCAGTTTGCCAGCCCTGTATTTCAAGAGGCTGGCTATCTTTGAGCATTTTGCCCATATAGGCAATTCTGATTTTCTTTTCGGCGGGTAGCTTTAGATAGGAGGCATTAGCTTGCGGTTGGCTATAACCGGAACTCCAGGTGTCTCAACGAAACAAGGGACGTTCCCATACAACAAAAGGAAGCGAGCAATGAAAATAGGACACTTACTGACGCTTCACAGCCAAGTTTCCTGATTATATTTCGCACGGTATCCGATTTGCTGACATGAATATCAAAATCCCTCCCGGTCTCACTAAGGCGTGCACGTAAAGTTATCTGGTCACGAAGATCGATAACCTCTTTGCCCTTTTCATGCCTTCGTCTCTCGGGATCATCTACGAGAGAAACAGGGTCAATCTCCTCTTCTGCGGTGTCGTCATCCCCAGTTGTTGACATGTCAGGCGCGTCAACTCCTTCACATAGAGTCGAAATATTACTCGGCTCGGAAACAACCCATTGTGGGAGCTGGTAGTAGTTGCCAAGCGAATCGTATGCACCATTTGCAAGATCACCCGTCGGCAGGGAGATCTCTGCAGCAGAAAGAATTGACTGTGCAGTTGCCAGGGCGTCACAACCTTCACCTCCGGATTCTTGCAAGACAGCCACGGCAGCGTGAATTGTTTGCCATATTTCCGAACGTCCAGTTACTCGAGTATCGAAAAATTCGGCTCTCT